TCTATCTATCTGTCTATCTGTCTATCTATCTGTCTGTCTGTCTGTCTGTCTGTCTGCCTGTCTGCCTGCCTGTCTGTCTGTCTCTCTGTCTGTTTATCTGTCTGTCTGTCTGTCTGTCTATCTATCGTCTCTCTATCTGTCTGTCTGTCTGTCTATCTGTCTGTCTATCTATATATCTATCTGTCTATCTATCTATCTATCTATCTATCTGTCTGTCTGTCTGTCTGTCTGTCGTCTCTCTGTCTGTCTGTCTGTCTGTATGTTTGTCTGTCTGACTGTCTTTCTGTCTGTTTATCCATCTATTCATCTGCCCTTAGGTCTGTCCGTTTTTCTGTTTGTCTTTCTGTTTGTCTGTTTATCTGTCTGTCTGTCCATCCATCTATCTAGTCCATCTATCTAATGTTTTCTCTCTCTGTTTCAGACCATGCTGCTGGAGAAATGGAGGGTGTGTCAGAGGCCGAAGGGAGAGAGTAACTTCCTGGTGTTCTCCCAGATGCTCTCAGGCCTCAGCACAGACATGAGGTCAGTTCGGTCCCTGGAGCTCTCTGTGGTCAAACTCAGTAGCATTTGCTTCTTGTATTGTGAAGCCTTTTTCTGGCTTCCTGCTGGATTCGTACGGTCATGAAAAACCTGGAAAGTCATGGAATTTTAAAACAGCAATTTCCACTGCTTGGGAAAAATAAATAAACCCAGAAAGTTATATTGCATAGTTTGCATAATTTTACTCATAATTTTAATTTATTCAATTTTTGTATATGTTTGTACCTGAATACTACTGTTAGACTGAAACAGTTTCCAAAATTAAATGAAGGTTCTGAGTTTAACTGATAATAATGGTTAAATAAATTACAATATTCAGTGATGTGATGATATGTTCTCTGGAGTAACGTCTGGCACAGTTGCAGCTTGTACTTATTATTAAAACAAATAGAAAGCAAACAAGTAGCGTTAATATTTTAGTTAACATATGCTATGATAAATTTGAACAGATTTTTATTCTTATTGTAAAATAATGGAATATTAGGTCATGAATATTGTCTCAAAAGTCATGGAAAAGTCTTTATTGGTAAAAATGTGTACAAACCCTGTTCCTGGCTTCTGTCCTCACAAGCCTGATTGCAGCATCATTAGACGGCAAACACAAAGTTACCCGTCATTAAACCCCAGATCATTCACCATATTGTTATGGGTTTGTTTTTGGACTCAGTTTCCCCTCAGAGGCACGCACAGGCTCTTCAGCGAACGCCGCTTTGGCAGAACGCCTGCTCTTTTCATAGCTTTGCCTTAAAACAAAAGCTCCAGAGAGCTCGAGGGGGCAGGATCTTGTCTGATGTCATTTCCTGTTTAAATTTGAGTGTAACTGTCTTGTTCTGTAATCACAGGACTGAACTGCAGCTGCACCAGTTAAAGGAACACAACTCATTTGGAATTTCATGCCCAACCAAGGTATGAACTGTTTTAAAAAAGCAATAATAATAATAAAGTCAAAAGTCATGATTGTTAAACAAACATGATTAGTGCATCTGCTCTGACATGTTGAGCTTTGGTGCTCATGTGGGAAAAACACGTTTAATTCTAGCTTGCAACATCCTGATCCTGTTCTCTCCACATCTACCCACAATTCCATTCAATAAAAAGGAAAAAAGCATAACTTAATTTAATTTTAGATGAAATACAAAAAAATTAAATAAAGTAACTAAAATTAAATAAAAAATTTAATTAAATTTAAAGTTTAAATTAAATTATTAAATTAAATGTAAATTAAATTAAATTGAAAGTTACTTTTAAAGGTGCTAAATAAAATAAAGTTATTTTTATTAGTATTAATAAATTAATGTTTTTAATTAAATTAAAAATTATAATTGTTTACATTATTGCCCAACGATATATTAAAAGTTGGATATATAGTACTTCCAATTTTATCCACATACATACAGTATACTAACATGAAGCGATATTTACAGTATAGCAAATCTCAACTATATCCAACGTTATCTGCATACATACAGTATATTAACGTAAAAATGTATAACTTGTTTTTCGTTTTTGGCACTATTATTGATATAATCGGACAGAAATGAGACAGACTGGGCTTGAACCTTTGTTTCCCGAATGAGCACCAAGGCTCAAAGTGTCTTGCAGATGTGTGTTCTGACTTGAACTTTTCTTTAATAAGTTTTAATAAATGTAGTTTTTCATCCTTCACTTCAGGTGGATGAAAAGCAGAGAGCTTCAGTGGGTTTTGGGAAGCTACTGGCCGCCATGAATACTTTAGGATTCTCAGTGGATGAGCAGAAGGCCATTTGGCATGTTTTGGCAGGAATATACCATCTCGGCGTCGCAGGAACATGCAAGGGTAAATCAGGACTAGACTTACGACTGTATTTTGTCAAGCGAAAAAGTATTAGGTGAGCCTTTACTCTCTGTTTTTCCTTTCTTGTAACGGCTTCAGTGGGCCGTAAGCAGTTTATGAGTTTTGACAGCGCGCAGACGGCCAGTGCCATCCTGGGTTGTGAGGGAGAGGAACTCCACACTGCCGTCTTCAAACACCACCTGAGGCAGTTACTGCAGAGAGCCACCGGAGGCGTCAGAGAGCGCCGCGCTGCAGAGGAACCAGAGGACGGTCAGAAATACACACTGAACTCTGTTAAACCCACCAGAATCTGAGAAGATCTGAGATAAACTGTGTAGAGAGGAACTAGAGATAGCATCCTGGAAATCAAATAAATGAAATATTGTTTGTTTGAGTTTTTATAAAGTTTTTATTATTCAGTTGATGAGGACTGGGTCTATTAAGCAGTTTAGCCTCATTGTAAACAGATATTTGACCACAGAATGACCATCCAGGTGATCAGTTAGAAACAAATATTTCTGAGAGCCACATATTAAATCTTAATAACCAAGTTATAACCAAAAATATTTCTGAGACATGTTGTTTCTGTTTTATAATATAAACCAAATTATGTAAATGTGTATTTATTTATATCTGTTATTTAATATCTAAATAATATTTATTTCTCATTCTGCCATACACTACTGTTCAAAAGTTTGAGGTTGGTAAGATTTTTTCATGTTTTGGAGTAAGTTTCTTATGTTCACCAAGGCTGCATTTATTTTATCAAAGATGCAGTAAAACAGTAATATTGTGAAATATATTACAATTTAAAAGAACTGTTTTTCAGGATTCTTAGATGAATAGACAGTTGAAATAGAAATCTTTTGTAATGTTAAAAATGTCTTTACTGTCGCTTTTGATCAATCTAATGCATCTTTGCTGAAGAAAATAATGATTTATTTTTTTAAATCTTTTCTTTCTTAGCATTTATTTAGTAGTATATCACTGTTTGCACAAACATACGGAGACACTGAAGACTGGAGTAATGATGCTGAAAATTCAGCTTTGCATCTCAGGAGTAAATTACATTTTAAAATATATTCAAATAGAAAACTGTTATTTTAAATTGTAATAATATTTCACAATATTACTGATTTTATAGTATTTTTGATTAAATAAATGCAGTCTTGGTGAACATAAGAGACATCTTTTAAAAACAAAAAATCTTGATTTGCAAAAATGTCACCAGAACTTAGCAAAATCATACACATCCTCTATTTGAGGATGTCCTAAATGGGAAAATATGTCAACTATGCGTGTGTTTCAGGTCCAAAACTGAGTGCTGCTCAGTGTGTGGAAGGGATGGCGGCTGGTCTCTATGAGGAACTCTTCACCACTATTGTGTCTCTCATCAACAGGTAAGTACACACTGTTTGGTGACAGTTATATCTCTCTAAAGTGATATAGCGGTGTTTCCCAGCCTTTCTCTTGTTCTCTCTCCAGAGCGCTGCACTCTCAGCAGCTGACGCTGGCCTCTGTGATTGTAGTGGACACACCAGGCCTGAGGAACCCCAGACACAGCAGGGATGACCGAGCCGCCGGCTTCTCTGAGCTCTGTCACAACTACTTACAGGAGAGACTGCTGGAGCATTACTTCAACCACACATTCACAGACACGCTGGAGAGACACACACGGGTACCACACCGTCTCCAACCACTACGGGGATACGTTAGAAACTGCTGTTCTAGTGTTACAAATATTGCATATGAATATGAACCTTGCTGATTGAATTCAAATTGAATGAAATTTCGTTTCATTTTTAAAAATCATATATAAAATAATGTATTAAATAAAGTAACATTCCTATGCATATTTATCATTTCTTTGTTTTACTGCCATTTTATTTGACCAATAAACTATACCTAAAAATGTCTTATGTCAATCTCAAACAAATATTGAAAATTTGTTATTGACAACCTAAAACAGATATTTAATATTAATATGAACCTTGCTGATTTAATTTTAATTTAATTTAAAAATAATATATCAAATAAAAAAATTACATTCCTATGCATATTTCCGCTATGATCTCTCAGGCTGGTTCGGTCAGGTCCAGAACAACCCGTCTGTCCTAAACGCCAGTTCCCTGCTGCAGAACTCCTCAATGTAAGAGAATACAGATGATCACGGACTTTTGCACTGCAGTATGGATGACTTCTAACAGATTTTCCTTAAATAAAATTCTGAATATTGAAGTTTGCCAATTAAAATGAAAGTAAATTGTTAAAGTTATTAATGATTTGACATTATTCATTAGTATTACTAAAATATTCATTCATCTCTCCAATTTTATATTAATAAAGGTGCCAAGAAAAATAGCAGGTATAGTATTTAGAAATAACTTATAGAACAAATAGCAAAAATGGCAATAAAACATAAGGAAATACATGTACATGTTAAAAAAATTGGGTGGGTATTTTATTTTATTTATTATTTTTATTTATTTTATTTTTTTATTTTTATGCACCGCTAAGCTTTTCCTCAATGCACAAGAGCTTATCCTCAAATAAAATTCAGAATATTGAATCTTGCAGATTAAACTGAAAATAAAATGTTAATGTTATTTGGGGAGTTATTAATAATTTGATATTATTGATGAGTATTATTAAAATATTCTGTATGTTTGGTTCATGTGAACTCTGGGACATTCATATATATATTAGAAAATATATAAGGAAATAGATGTTAATTATGGCTGAAATATTTTATTTTATTTTATTTTATTTTATTTTATTTTATTTTATTTTATTTTATTTTATTTTATTTTATTTTATTTTATTTTATTTGATTTGATTTTATTTTATTTTATTTGATTTGATTTGATTTGGTTCATGTGAATTAGTATGACAACAGTCCATCCGCTCACAGAAGACATATTAATGACAAATAATTTGCATTTTCGCATTCTTCCATATCTCATTTAATATAGTATAATGCATTTCTCATAGCTGCTTGTCACTGAATAAATTGCTGTTGGAAAGCATCTCACATACTACACATCTTTTGCACATGTCTACAGCAGACTTGCGCAAGTGCTGTGTGTGTGTGTGTGTGTTAAGTTTTGGTGCTAAATCAAATTCAATAACACAGTGAAACTGGTGTCTTGTCCTCCTGAACTGTTACCTAGCAACAGGGATAAACATCTGCTGCTAGTACTCACAGTGGTGTTCACGCTAATGATGCAAACGTGCCGCAATAAAGACAAGTGTGAATACAGCCAGCATCAGTGTGAGGGCTTCCATGAGCTTGGTGTTGACAACTTTTAGAAAAGGTTCTTATTTGGTTTTCATTTTTGCTCTTTTTTTGTTTGTTTTACTAAAAATGCATAGTAAGCGATGAAAAAAATCCAAACTGCTCACTAAAGGCAGTTACTATGTAGACATGCAGCAATGAGAAATTTAATACACAACTTTTACATTATTAATACTGTTGTAGTTTATGTGTAGAGACCATGCCAGATTGCTTTCATAACAGCTGTAAACCACACTGGAGTGCAAATAAACTTAAAACTAATTTTATAATTTAATTGTATAATTTAAATAAAAAACTATTTTTTAAATTAAAATAAAATTCTAAAATTAAATAGAATACATATAACTGCCTATATTTTTAACTAATGTATAGCAAACGTTTTTTCACATTTTAATTTGCAAGGTTCAGTATTCAGATGTTTGTTTGAGGAAAAGCTCTAGTATGAAAGTGTCCTTAGAAAAATTGTTTAAATTAAATAACATTAAATTACATTACACTGCATTACATTACATTAAAAAAAAAAAATGACCACCCATATTTATAACTTCTGCCATTTTGCTATTTGTTCTGAAAACTATATCTAGAGATGACTTGAAACAAATTCAGTTGTTTAATCTTTGTTTAAAATATGTTTTAAATTGAAATAAAAGTAGAATAAAGGATATTTACTGTATAACTAAAATTTTGATATTTGTTCTCTAAATTATATCCAGCAATGCCATACCTGTTGTTTTTCATGGCACCATAATTTTTTTGGCCACTTTTATGGATTATAATAATAGAGAGATAACAGGAAATCAGCGTTTTATTAATGTTAATGACTTTTACAGTACGGTTGAGTTCTCTTGTAGGTTATTTGTACAAAACACATCAGTGCTCTTTCATACTAGTTGTAAACTGGACAGGGATAAATGTAAATTTGGATTTGAATTTCATTAATATTGCCATTTTGCTGTGCCTTTAATCTGTGTCTAGAAATGCCATATCTGTTTTGTTTTTTTGCTTTTTCATGGCACCACATGCTTTTTTGGCATTTTTATTGATGTAATAATGAAGAGATGACAGTAATATCTGTAAATAAAATTTATATCATTAATACTGTAGTTCGTGTGTACCAAATATGCCATATGGCTTTCATACCATTTGTAAACCTCACTGGTGAAGTGCACATGAAATTGAAAAAACCCATTCTCAACCAATTAAAAACAAACCAAACTATGAAGTCAAACGGATGTGGGTTGATGCTAAAAGCTTGAGAGTGAAAACTCCCTAATTCTCTGATTTCTTCTTTCACTTGTTCCTCTTCTCAGTGGAGCGGTGAAGGCCCTGTTCAGTCCGCGGGCGTCCATGCCTCCTCTGTGCCGGGGTTTGGGCGGTGTGGAGGGCGGCTCTCAGCGCTCACTGGAGAGGTGCGGCACGTTGCGGAAGACTCTGAGCGGCGGGATGGCGGCCCTCAGGAGACATTCCCAGTGCATCGCCGTCAAACTGCAGGCGGTGAGAAACAAATGAGCTGTTATGAAGCTGTTTCCATCTGCTTTTTGTCTGTAAATCCTCTTCACAATTTCCATGACTGTCTCTCTCACTGAGCAGGATGCTCTGCTGAATCTGATTCGGCGAGCGCGGCCTGTCTTCCTGCAGTGTTTGAGTGCTAAGACAGATGGCTGTGGCTTTGATGTCCCAGCACTGCGTGTACAGCTGCACTCCACACACCTGCTGCCGGCACTGCAGCTGTACCGAACAGGTCACACACACACACACACACACACTCATGCATGTTTGTTTCTTATCATGTATGGGACTCTAATGACTTCTGTTGTACTTCATTAAAGCAAATTAGTTGCAAGTCTCTCTATTTCTGTTTGTGAAACTTAATGCAATAATTCACCCAAAAATGAAAATGTGCTGAAAAGTTACTCACTCTCAGGTCATCCAAGATGTAGATGAGTATGTTTTTTTCATCAGAACAGATTTGGAGAAATTTAAAATTACATCACTTGCTCACCAATGGATCATCTGCAGTGAATGGGTGCCGTCAGAACGAGAGTCCAAACAGCTGATAAAAACATTACAGAAATCCACAAGTAATCCACACCACTCCAGTCCAGCAAATAACATGTAGTGAAAAGCTGAGTGTTTGTAAGAAACAAATCCATCATTAAAGCATTTTTTACTTTAAAATGTCGCTTTTGGTAAAAAATAAGGAGTCTTCCTCCAGTGAAAAAGTCTATCCACTGTTGTCCCCTTGCATCAAAATCCACCGACGTATTTGTTTAAAACTGTATTGCAACCTGGTTTTCGCTTTTGCTAAACAGTGCTTGAGCTATGCATATTTCTTTCCTGATTCAGACAAGAAAACTTTTCACTAAAGAAACCAATATTATAGATTATGGACTCCATAATGATTTGAAGTTAAAAACATCTTGATGAATTTGTTTCTTACAAACACGCAGCTTTTCACTTCACAAGACGTTAACTGATGGACTGGAGTGGTGTGGATTACTTGTGGATTATTGTGATGTTTTTATCAGCTGTTCGGACTCTCATTCTGACGGCACCCATTCACTGCAGAGGATCCATTGGTGAGCAAGTGATGTAATGCTACATTTTTCCAAATTTTTTCTGATGAAGAAACAAACTCCTCTACATCTTGGATAGCCTGAGGGTGAATACATTTTCAGCAAATTTTCATTTTTTGTGTGAACTGTTCCTTTAAGATTAGAGATTTTAACCGCTTGTGGTACAGACATGATTCCTCAGATTGTATACTGCATCTCAAACATACTGAACATATGAAGCAGTTCTCCTTGTAAAAAACAAAATCAGGTCCCATTTTGTATTGTCAATTACCAAATGTCCTTTCAAAGACAGCAAGCTCTGTCTCTGTGTCTTGCAGGCTACCCTGAGCACATGTCCCTGGGTGATTTCCGCTGTCGTTTTCAGGCCCTCTCTGCTCCCATAATGAAGCGATACGGTTCTGTCTTCATTACCCCTGACGAGAGGAAGGTCTGGACGTCCTGAATCCCATGGCACACATGTGCCTCATTACCCTCTGCTAAAATGTCATTTATTTTTAATGATGTCAAATGATGACAATATTTATTTCCCTGTTTATTAACCTGTTTATTGATTAGCCGGTTTTTGCTCGAACAGCCCTCATTGATTCAGGGAGCTGCTGTTCCAAAAGTGGGCCTGAGCTCTGTCTGTTTGTGTTTACATCCCTTTATATCAGGCTGTGGAGGAATTATTGATTGATCTGGATTTGGACAAGAAAAGCATTGTTTTAGGAGCGAGCAGGGTGAGCCAGAGTCATCTATCTATCTATCTATCTATCTATCTATCTATCTATCTATCTGTTTGTCTGTCTGTCTGTCTGTCTGTCTATCTATCTAGTGATCTGTCGTTCTGTCTGTCTTTTCTCTATCTATCTATCTATCTATCTATCTATCTATCTATCTATCTGTCTGTCTGTCTGTCTGTCTGTCTGTCGATCTATCTATCAGTCTATCATTGTGTAGTTCTGTCTATCATTGTTGGAAATAACACTTCTGAAGTTTTCAGGTCATTCTCTCTCTGATGTGTGTGTTTATGAAGGTGTTTATGAAGCGTGATGTCCTGAGGTCTTTAGATCAGCAGAGAGATCAGTTGTTGAGCAGCTGGCTGGTGCAGCTTCAAGCATCCTGTCTGGGTCATATGGGCCGCCAGAAATACCGCCGCATGAAGGTGAGTCTCTTTTGTCCTCTGTTTATAGATCTGAGGATAGGTGCTCAGAGTTCCTCTTTGTAATGACCCAGTGTTCATCGAGGGGAAGTAAAATGGACAATCAAACAAAATTAAGACATTTCTGCTGCAATAATCCCTGATTAACTTCAGGGGAAAAAATTTAATTCTTGGAATAGTGTAAAATATAGCTTTTAATGGACTTTAGTAGTTGACTTTAATAGTGCTACAGTCTTGTGTATAGTTGTGTCAGTGTGGGTCTGATGCAGCATCTAATGTGAGTGCTGATCTGGGATCAGGTTCAGCAGATGGCAGTGAGCTGTATTCAGAGAAATGTGCGAGTCCTCACCGCAGTGGCCCACTGGAGCTGGTGGAAGCTGCTGTGCAGAGTGCGCCCCCTGCTGGACGTCAACATGGATGACCAGCGACTCAGATCCAAAGAGGTCTGGGGACATGTTCATACTATACATAACATTTAAACCACTAAATCATCGAGTTATCCAGTAATCATCTGTACAATGATATTTGTGTATCTATCTATCTATCTATCTGTCTATCTATCTATCTATCTATCTATCTATCTGTCTGTCTGTCATCTGTCTGTCTGTCTGTCTGTTTGTCTGTATCTATCTGTCTGTCTGTCTGTATCTATCTGTCCGTCTGTCTGTCTGTCTGTCTGTCTGTCATCTGTCTGTATCTATCTGTCTATCTGTCTGTCTGTCTGTTTGTCTGTATCTATCTGTCCGTCTGTCTGTCTGTCTGTTTGTCTGTCTGTCTAGATTGTGTTTTTGTTTATCAGATTTGTTTCACTCCATTATAATTGTATCACATTCTGTTGTTCAGGATGAGATCACTACTCTGAGGAGACGTCTGGAAAAGTCAGAGAAAGAACGAAATGAGCTGCGTCAGACTGCAGACAACCTGGAGACCAAGGTATATGTTTGTGCCGTGCCCCCTGAGCCACATATGAAATGATACTGTCAGATCAGGAATCTTATCTATCTATCTATCTATCTATCTGACTATTTCTATCTGGCTATCTATCTATCTATCTATCTATCTATCTATCTATCACTTGTCTGTCTCTCTATCTATCTATCTATCTTTGTCTGTCTGTCTGTCTGTCTGTCTGTCTGTCTGTCTGTCGTCTGTCTGTCTCATCTGTCTGTATCTATCTGTCTGTCTGTCATCTGTCTGTCTGTTTGTCTGTATCTATCTGTCTGTCTGTCTGTATCTATCTGTCCGTCTGTCTGTCTGTCTGTCTGTCTGTCTGTCATCTGTCTGTCTGTCTGTATCTATCTGTCTGTCTGTCATCTGTCTGTCTGTCTGTTTGTCTGTATCTATCTGTGTCTGTCTGTCTGTATCTATCTGTCCGTCTGTCTGTCTGTCTGTTTGTCTGTCTGTCTAGATTGTGTTTTTGTTTATCAGATTTGTTTCACTCCATTATAATTGTATCACATTCTGTTGTTCAGGATGAGATCACTACTCTGAGGAGACGTCTGGAAAAGTCAGAGAAAGAACGAAATGAGCTGCGTCAGACTGCAGACAACCTGGAGACCAAGGTATATTTAAGTGATGAGCGGTTCAGAGGGGAGGCCATGAGTCAAGCTCTAGATACTGAGCGCACGGAGAGACTACGTCTCGCCAAAGAGAACAAGGAACTGCAGGTACAGCCCACCCATCATCTGTCTCCGTATCTCTGTTTCTAATTGGTCAAATTTGATCACAAACTATCCAGTCTTGTGGGAATGTGTTATAAAGGCAATATTCAGAATGTCATATTACTCATATTAGTATTGCATTACACCAAATACACAAAATAATGATCTTTAAAATAGCATCATATGACCCCTTTAAACTAAATGAAATGAGAAATGTTGCCTTGGGAACTAGCTAAAATGAAACAAGTTTAAGCACATATATATATATATATATATATACAGTGCTGCTTGAAAGTTTGTGAACCCTATAGAGTTTTCTATATTTCTGCATAAATATGACTCAAAACATAATCAAAATTGCACAAGTCCTGAAAATAGACAAAGAGAACCCAAACAAACAAATGAGAAATATTTTCTAATCGTGCTGCAACTGAAGTGATTGACAGCCTGAATATAAAGGGAGCGCTCTTTGCTCACTTCATATACAGTGCTGCTTGAAAGTTTGTGAACCCTATAGAGTTTTCTATATTTCTGCATAAATATGACTCAAAACATAATCAAAATTGCACAAGTCCTGAAAATAGACAAAGAGAACCCAAACAAACAAATGAGACAAAAATATTTTCTTTGCCATTTATTTATTGAGAAAAATGATCCAGTGTTCCATATCTGTGCGGTGCAAAAGTATGTGAAATTGTGAATCTTTGCTTTCAGTATCTGTTCTGACCCCTTTTGCAGCAATAACTGCAGGTAAATGTTTCTTGTAACCGCTGATCGGCTTGTAGGAATTCTAGCCCCTTCCTCAGTACAGAAGCACTTCAACTCTGTGATGTTGGTGGGTTTCCTCCTATGAACTGCTTGCTTCAGCTCCTTCCACAACATTACAATTGGATTAAGGTCCAGATTTTGACTCTGTCATTCCAAAACATTAACGTTGTTCTTCTTTAACCATTCTTTGGTAAAAACGACTTATGTTCTTGGGGTTGTGGAACGAAAAGTCTAGTGTGACCGCGGCTTTACGCTGGAATGCAGTGTTTTCTTTCTCCAAACACAATGCTTCTTATTTGAACCCAAAAAGTTCTATTTTGGTCTCATCCATCCACAAAACATTTCTCCAGTAGCCCTCTGGCTTGTCCACATGATCTTTAGCAAACTGCAGACGGGCAGCAATGTTCTTTTTGGACAGTAGTGACTTTCTCCTTGCAACTCTACCATGCACACCATGGTTGTTCAGTGTTCTCCTGATGGTGGACTCATGACAACTCTTGCTTTTGGAGTTATCTTTGTTGGTGGACCGCTTCTGGGGAGGGTAACAATGGTCTTGAATTTCCTCCATTTGTACACAATCTGCCTGACTGTGGATTTGTGAAGTCAAAACTCTTTAGACATGTTTTTGTAACCTTTTCTAGCCTGATGAGCAACAGCAACTCTTTTTCTGAGGTCCTCAGAGATCTCCTTTGTTCGTGCCATGATTCACTTCCACAAACATGATCAGACTTTGATAGATCCCTGTTCTTTAAATAAAACAGGGCACACACTGACACCTGATAGTCATTTCACTGAATGAAAACACCTCTGAACAGATGGACTCTTAATTTCACCTTCAAATTAACTGCTGATCCTAGAGATTCACATACTTTTGCACCGCATAGATATGTAACACTGGATACTTTTTCTCAATAAATAAACGAAAAATAATATTTTTGCCTCATTTGTTTGATTGGGTTATCTTTGTCTATTTTCAGGACTAAATCTGATTATGTTTTGGGTCATATTTATGCAGAAATATAGAAAATTCTATATATATATAATTTGAATTCAGTTAAACTTTCTGTTATTTCAATGAACGAAAATGTTTTTTTGTGATTTTAATTTGTTTTCTTTAACTATAATAGCTCTGGCTCAACCTGACTTACCAATAACCGTAGGGAAAAAGGCTAAATTAACAACTTGTATAATTAACAACTCATAATATTTCTGCAGATAAAAATATGCTATTTCGATTACAGCCACTTTGCTTCAAATTAAATATGTGCCTACTATCATAAAAAAAATTATAAGTGAAACATAAGTTACATTTTAAACAGTAATATTCTACTGTATATTGTCACATGACCTCATCAGGTTGCATGTTTAATTCAGCAAATGGCATCCAGTTAGCATCTTTCATAAGTTATTTTGTATTCTAAAATCACTTCTGTGTACAAAAGACCTTTTCTCTTGACAGTCCAAATAAATAATGAGTTGAGAAAGAGATTAATCTTTAAAAAATTGTGGCTGGTTGAAAAATGACACGTTCATTTATCACACTAGAAATGTAAGGTCAAGTGGAAGCAATGCACAGTATTCCTCACAGCATGTTCTGATTGTATACGGCACGTTTCAGCAAATGAAGTACTGTAGGTAATGTATCCCATGCATATAGAAAATTAGCATATTGTCCACATACTACCGTATATAATGCAGAAACAGTATGATTAGTATGCTTTTCCAAACATAGCCTGCAATATTGTCTCAAATGCCTCACTGCTGTGTCTCCTGTTGAATTGTGGGAGTCACGCCCGTGTGTTTATTCTGTGCTCTGTCTCAGAGTCGTGTGGACCAGAGTAAAGTGACTTTGGAGGCCCTCGAGAGGCAGTTAGAGGAAGAAAAACAGAAAGTCAAGAATAAAGAAGCTCTCAGTGGAGTGGCGACAGGTAAGACAGGCTTCCGTGTAGATGCAATCAAACATGCTGGTGAAGAAAGATAATGACTGTTTGCGTGGGTGTGTGTGAATCCTGCATGTGCACACAGAAAGTGAGCTGCAGCTGCAGCTGGAATGCGCGCAGACGGAGGTGGAGTTCCTGCGCAGGCGTCTGCGGCAGACGGAGGAAAGACTTGAGAGTGAGAAAGAGGCCCGTCAGCTGCTGGATACTAAGGTATTAATATTAATTATTACATTAATTATGACCTTAAAGCGGCACCTTAGAGTGTTTGTCAAGGTTTCTTTTAGTTTTCATACATGGTCTTAGTTATTGTTGTTATAGTTAACTACAACATTTAAAAATTGTTTTTAATAATTGAAATGAAGTTAAAATAAAAATATTAGATGAAAACTTGAACTTGAAAAAAAATGAAAATGACAAATATTGCTTTGGGAACTAACATAAATAATTTAGTTAAATAACTAAAATGACCGAACCTGAAATAAAAATAAAGCTAAATGAAAAATATTTCAAAAAAATTATAATAATTATAAAAATGACAAAAGCACAACAAAATTACTAAAACTTAAATTAAAATTAAAACTGAAAATATAAAAATAAAAGCTAATTCAAATGATCAATATAGTATTATTGAAATATTACTAAAATAGCACTAAAGTCTGATTTTGTATATACAACAAAACAAACCAGAAGCCTTCACAATAAAAAAAAATCAATCAAACAAACACACAAATAAATAAATAAATAAATAACTATCTACCATTATTGCCCAGGACAAAGATACAGCTCGCTCATTTAACATGTAGTGGGGCATGTTGTCACACAATATAAGGTACACTTTCACAGTGGGAACCTGTTGTTTATTGACATTGATTTCAAAAGAATATCATTTTATGTTTTTTAATTATGAATTATCTACAGTTAAAAAGCTGTCTTCAGAACATATCAGTAATTTAATGTGCATTATAGGATATAAAGGCTTTACAATGATAAAATTATAAAATTACAGTTCCTGAAACAACAAAAATGTAAAATACAAAATGTCCAAACTTTTTTTTTAAATGTAATATATACTACAATTATAATATGTATTATATAATTAATTTATATTATATAGATTAAAAACGCATAATTTAAGAAAATTTTTAATTAGATAGATAGATATAGCATTTCTATTATTTATTATTATTAATTCAAAAAACAATATTCTTATTTAAGGCTAAACCACTGTTAAGAGAACACAAGCTTTTATGAAACTGGACTGAAAGACATATAGTTACTGAGATGTAGTCCTTCTGACGACTAGCATCAGTGTATGCTATTTACTGACCAAGTCCTTATATGAACAATCCTGTTTGATTTGTTCTGCAGATAATGACATGTTTGTTATTATTTATTATTATCATGTGCACTGCACTGAATAACCCTGTCATGTCCAGTGGGCTGCACAAGGTCCCTTCCTGATGATCTTTGTCTCTATCTCCCCCTTGTGGCAGGTCCAAGAACTGCAGTCTCAGCTTGATCAATCTAAACGCTCAGTGACAGAGCTAAAACGCCACTGCCGGCGGTTGACCTCTGACCTTCAGGACGCGCGTGTGCTGACTGACAGCCTGCAGAGCCGCACTCATGAGCTGGAGAGGAAACAGAGGAGGTCTGTCTCATTTGCATATGATTCATTAATATTCAGCACCACGCTATCTGGTTTCTTGAAAATGCATTCTCAAGCCCTCTGTCTGGTCTGTGTATGTGTGTCTGTGTCTGTGTGTGTGTGTGTGTGTGTGTTTGTAGGTTTGACAGCGAACTGACCCAGGCGCTTGAGCAGGCTGATAATGAGAGGGAGCAGAAGGAGAGAGCCATCCAAGAGAATACCACCCTCGGCGCCGAGATATTCACCCTTCACAAGACGCTCAAGGTAAGGGCCGAGGTCAAAGGTCAAGTGTCCACCATCTGCGATCGTGCCCGTGAACTCCGGGTGTCCTCTGTCGGTAAACTGAACGAGTCCCCAGAGATCCCAAATATGCAGAGGAGAAAAGTTCTGCTTTAAATTTATCAGATTATATAACTTTACAGTGTCATTATAGGAAAATGAATGAATGAGTTTTTACTCTGAAATACAAAGGTCAGAGGGAAATACCTGGGAAAATACATGGGAAATACATGTGCACACATTTATATCTGCATTATGCATTCGTGTATTTTAATACAATGTGTTTTTTATCTGTTCAGATGACTGTATGTGATTTTTGGTGTGTGTTTGTGATTGTAATTGTTTTTTTTGTGTGTTCATTTTGTGTGTGTGTGTGTGCAATTTTTGTGTGTATTTGCTGTTGTGTGTGCTTATGCGTATGTGTTTGTTTATATGCTTGTTTATGTTTGTATAAATTTTTATATGTATGTGTTTGTGTATGGTTATGTGTCTGTGATTGTTTTTTGTGCATCATTGTGTGTGCATTTGCTTTTGTGTGTCAACTTCATGCATTTGTGATTATTTGTATAATTGTGTTTGCATGTGTGTATGTGCATGTGCGTGTTTGTTTCTTTTGTATGTATCTATGTTTTTTGTTCATTGTTGTGTGTTTGTACAATATGTTTATTTTTTATTTTTTGGTATGTGCATTTGCTTTTGTGTGTGTGTTTGATTGTTTTGTGCGTTTATGCATTTGTGCTTGTTTGCATAATTGTGTTTTTGTGTGTGTAAATGTGTGTTTGTGTGCATATGTGAATTTGTTTTTTCATTTTTGTGTGTGTTTATTTTTCGTTGTTGTGTGTATTTTTATGTGTTTGTGACTGTGTGGTGATTACGGTATGTTTATGTGTCTGTGATTGTTTTTTTTATGCATTGTTGCATGTGTGTGTTGCTTTTGAGTTAGTTTTTTGTGTTTTTGCATTAATTGTGTACATCTGTGTGTGTATATGTAAGCGTTTGTGTTTGTTTTATGCATTTGCATAAGTTTGTAACGAGTTTTTTGTCGTTTTGTCGTATATATTTTTATGTATGTGTATGTGTCTGCATCTGTGATTGTTGTGCGTTTTTGCAATATGTGTGTATTTGTTTTTGTGTTTATGATTGTTTTGTGTATGTTTTTGCATTTGTGCTTGTTTGTGTATGGATATTTGTATTTTTTATGCATTTGTTGTGTATTTTTGTGTTTGTGTCTTTGTATATGTCTGTATGTGATTTGTGTGCATTATTGTGTGTTTGTACATTTTATGTGTATTTGCTTTTGAATTTGTTTATTAATGTTTTGTGTTTTTTTGTGTAACATTGTTTGTGCATGTATGTGTGTGTATAAGCATGCATGTTTATGTGTGTTATTTGTCTTGATGTTTGTATGATTTTGTGTGTGTGTGTGTGTGTTTGCTTTTGTGTGTGTGATGTTTGTCTTGTGTGTGTTTTTGCTCCTGCATGTTCGGTTGTTGGTTTGTGTATTTACGTTTACGTGATGTGTGTATGATTATGTTTGTGTGTTTCAGGAGAGTCAGGTGGAGGTCACGCACCTGCAGCAGCAGAAGGAGGAACTGTGTGCTCAGATCTGTGACCTGAGCGTCCCTCTCCACCTCACCTCCGACTCCATCCCTGAACTGAAGAAGAAGCTCCGTGAGCTGGAGATCAGAGACAAGGAGCGCTCCGAGGAGATCAGCCAGATGACTGCCAGAATCAAACAGCAGGAGCAGGTATAGGAACCCAAGAAGAGTTGACCTTTTATAAAGGTTATGATGTCATAACCATGAGCACATTAACATATGACCACCCACATTTACATAAGTCTTAAAGGTGCAGTAACCCAAACAGGCCATCTGAACTCTGTTCTCCACAGATGCACCTGCGCTTTGAGATGGAGATGGAGAGGATGAAGCAGATCCATCAGAAGGAGCTAGAGGACAAGGATGAGGAACTGGAGGACGTGCAGAAGTCCTCACAGAGACGGGTCAGGGACGCAGAATGAATTACAACTCGACAGACCACCTTACAACCCTGTCTGAAACATCCTTTCCTGTCTGCCTGTCTGTGTGTGTGTGTGTGTGTGTGTGTGTGCAGCTCCGTCAGCTGGAGATGCAACTGGAACAGGAATATGAGGAAAAACAGATGGTGGTTCATGAGAAGCATGACTTAGAGGGGCTGATTGCCACACTGTGTGAACAGGTAACACGTATATATAAATTGTAAAATTATTATTTTTTTATATACATTACATAACATCATATATATAAAAAAAAAAGTATTATTATTAAAATATTTTATTTTATTTAAAGGTAATACAATTTTATTTATTTTTTATTGTTTTGTAAGAAAGCTTTTTGCATTTTAATAAAAAAACAAAACAATATTTAGCTGATTTATATACCTTTTTTGACATCCTCAAAAGGATATTGTCATATTTTCATTTTTCATTTTGCAGTGTTATTATCATAGATAGCAACATTTGCATTCACACACTGTAACCAACCTTTGTAACGTTCATTGCATTCCAGGCTTGATATTTATTAAATACAGTATGTGGGTCATTTGGATAGACGCGCTGTTTGATAGATCACAGAGTTTTAGTCCCATCAGGGCTCATGAGGATCTGTAAAGCTGTCGTGTTCCTGATATAAGAGCACTACTGACTGCCCAGCTCTGAGTCTACACATCTCTTCCCTCATCTGTCAGTGCTCTTCATTACGGTTTGTTTGTGGAAATATGAAAGCTCAGCAAACATTCTCAACTTCATTTGTATTATCAGCTTAACGTCAGCGTGAAATAGCATTAGTAAACCATTTTACTTCTGTGATGTGAAATATTTTGGAGAAAGATCTGTAGGGCAGGGCAATTGACTGGATGCTAAAAAAGTGGGACAGAGTTGAAAACTTGTGATTGGTGACATCAGCCCAAAAGCAAAGTCATTTTAGAGGTGGAGCAAGCATATATATGCATACACATTGATATAATCATGTGTCCTGCCCTCGGGCCGTCGTGAGCGCTCTAATGTGACGGTACTCTGGAAGCGTGATCACTACCGAGATCGATATGATGAAGCTACTCATCTGCTGCTGTTAACAACGACCACAGTTTATGACCCGAGCTGCACGTAAACACTGCTGCTCAAAATGAGTTTCGTATTGAGTAAGAGGATGTGTAAAGCGTCTGGTTTTAATGCATGTATTGATTTTTCCAGGACATGTGCATTCACTGCCAACCTAACCTTCCCAACCATATCACCTATTTCCTTGAGCAGTACCTGAGATCTCAAGTAATGATCTAGCCATTCATGAAATTTAATGAATAATGTTTTTAATGCATGTTACTCAAACTGATGATGTTTGTTTCTGTATCTAAAATTATTACATTATATTAATGTAATATAATGTAATATAATATAAGGATGTTCCATTAATATAATATTTAGTAAATATAGCAATTTAATAATTATAATTAGTCATGTTGCTGGTCTTATTGTACATGATGTCTGTCCAGGTAATCTTTAATAGAATATAATATAATATAATATTATTTAATTTAATTTAATTTAATTTTATTTAATTTTTTATTTAATTTAATTTTATTTTATTTATTTATTTATTTTTATTATTTTATTTTATTTATTTTTTTATTTATTTTTTTGACCATCACAAATCAGCTCATATTGAAAGCCAAAATGATTTACTGAGCTTATGGGTTTTACTCAGTTTTCCACAGGCAGGAGTTTGTATGTCTCTGTGTTCACGTGGCCAGCATCATTACTCAGTTCCTATGGTGTAAAAGTCACCACCGTTATCCAGAAATGTCTGCCTCTCTCCCGTGATGTGAGTGTAAAGTAAAGGCTTTCTGTTTGCGCTTCAGTGTGATGTATAGATCTCTCTCTGGTCTCAGGTGGGCCACAGAGACTTTGACGTGGAGAAGAGGCTGAAGCGGGACCTGAAGCGCACACATGCCCTGCTCAATGACGCCCAGCTGCTGCTGTCCACCGTTGAACAGCCTGGGCAGGGTCACGACCCCGGTGCCAAGGAGCAGCTGGAGAGACTGTGCTGCCAGGTGCCACCGCCATCCCATCATCCACACAGCACGGCTCACACGATTTATACAGCTTTGCATTATCGGTCTTCAAAAGTCCCACCATTAACCCCTTACTGCAGTAAAATATAGTAGTATTTTTGTGGCATTAGCCTTATTTGCCCAGTACATTTTAAGTAGTGTTCTAGCTATTCATTAAATATTATAAATAATGTTTTAATACACGTTGCTGATCTTATTGTGCATGGTGCAGCCTAAGATGGTTTGCTGGTCATAGATGGCTTAAACTGGCCCAAAATAAAAATAATAATAATAATGCTGTTTTCAACATTGATAACAAGAAATTTCTCTTGAGCAGCAAATCAGCATATTAGAATGATTTCTGAAGGATCATGTGACTCTGAAGACTGGAGTAATTATGCTGAAAATTCAGCACTGAATCACAAGAATAAATTACATTTTAACACATATTCAAATAATATTTAACAATATTCCTATTTTTACTGTATTTTTTGTCAAATAAATGCAGGCTTGCTGAGTAGAAGAAACTTCTTTCAAAAACAATAAAAATACTTAATTATTCCTAGATTTTTAATGGTAGTGTGTGTTTGCATAGTTTGTTTTGTCAATACAAAGTCATCTAAAAATAATAAGGATTTACGCTAATATTGTTAGTGGTCTATATTTCTGTAGTTACCTTTATTTGACTTTTGTCTATGTGTGTTCTAGCTGGAGGACAGTGACGCCAGACGGTTGGAGTCTGAAAGCGCACAGAAGACTCTGGCTGCAGAGCTGGAAAACACTCAGATCGAGCTGGAGAGCATCTGCAAGCAGAAGAGCCTGGTGAGGCCCCGAGACATGAAATGAGAGGAGCAAAGGGCTGATCTCAGGTTTATCTCAGTGCCTCTCTGTTTGTTGTCTCAGGTGGATGAGCAGCTGGCTCAGCTCCGCTACGAGAGGACGGACCTGATGAAGAGGCTGGAGGAAGACCAGGAGGATCTCAACGAGCTCATGAAGAAGCACAAAGCCCTCATCGCTCAGGTATAATAGAGCAGGTTTTCCAATAACAAGCTGTTTTGTTCCCCATCACGTGGTTGGGAAGCGTGGCAAAATGCTGTCATTTGTCACATTGCATTGCATGCTCTCCTAAAAAATCCTCTCTCTCTAGTCTGATTCATTTGAGTAAATCGGTGATTCATTTTGCTAAATGGATGCTTCATTTCAACTGGTAAAAAAATGGTTTATCCTTTCACTTGAGTCATCACTTAATAGTGTTTCCAGTCCTTGGGCAACATCATTAGATGTTTTCTTTTCATAGCAAAATAAAAATGTACATTACTGAGGTTAATGGCTATAAAAAATAAAGATGAATTTAAGATTATCCAGTAAGATTTTATTTGGTTTGATCCCAATGGTTTGGTTTCAGACTATGAAAGAAGTTCTAGTTCCATTCTAACTATCTTGACAAACATTTTCAAAGTAGTTTCTCCAACACTGATGTGTGTGAGGTTATGTAAAATATCCCAAAGCCAACCAGACATGTTTGTTTATCCCAGTCTTCCAGTGCATAATTGTGAGATGCAAATTCACAGTTACGAGTTTATAACTTGTAAGTGTAAGATATAAACTCACAATTGTGAGAAAAAAAGAATTTTGAAAAAAAAAAAAAGTCACAATTACCTTTATTTTTATTCTATGGCACAAACAAAAAACAATTGCAAAATGAAAAAAAAAAATTGAATTCAGAGAAAAAATTTCAAAATTACAAGATGCAAATTCAGAATTTTGAGAAAAAAGTTATAAATTCGCAATTCTTGCAATTGTGTAATAATAAACACAATTCTGAGAAAAAAGTCTAAATTGTGAGATATAAACTTGCAATTGCAAAAAAATCATAATTGTGAGATAAAGTCGATATAACCTTTTTTATTTTTTGATTCTGTGACGGTAATAATCTTCTATAAGGACACACTAATCCTATTCTGTTGTGAAGACTGTTGTGAACATGGAGTAGACATATTGTTGTTGTATTTTCGTAACCCAGCAGTGCTTATCTTCCCAGCTGCAGACCAGCGTAGCACGTGTGCAGTTTCTAGAGTCGTCCACGGTGGCCCGCAGCATCGTAAGCAAGCAAGAAGCTCGTATCTGTGATCTAGAGAACAAATTGGAGTTCCAGAGAGGACAGGTCAAGAGATTTGAGGTCAGTCCAGACCCATTAACAGCTTCTCACTTTCTGCTCTTTCTCAGAGAGGACCTTTACAATCTGTGTGTGTGTAGGTGCTGGTTCTGCGTCTGCGGGACAGTGTGGTGCGGCTGGGTGAGGAGCTGGAGCAGGCGGCCCAGGCTGAGGCCAGGGAGAGGGAGAACTCCCGATACTATCAGCTGAGACTGGCGGATATGAAACTGGAAATGAATGACCTGAGCGTCAGAGAACAGGAGAGCAGCCGTCGACGCATGGAGCTGGTGACTGACACACACAAACACACCTTTCTGCTGTAGCTGATGAAGCAACACATTATTCTTCCCTATTTATTTTTACAATATTTAACACACAAACAGTAGTTTATCATGACTATGGAAGTCCTAAAAGATTATTTTATTTATTTATTTATTTGTGATCACAATTTCATTTTCCTTCATTTTCTTTCATTTATAAAAAAAAAAAAAAAAATTTTTTTAATGGTACATTGCTTGGATATTCATTTTGAGATTTAAGAATACACTTATATTATTATTAATATATTTTATATATTTTAGTATATTATAAATATGAACTTTGAGGGTTGGAGGACGGTAAAGCTCATCAAAATGTATAAATATGCTAAATTTAATATCTGATTTATATCGGTATGTACCATTTGAAAAACCATACAAAAATTTGGGGTCACTAAGATTTATTTTGAAAGAAGTCTCTTCTGCTCATCAAGGCTGCATTTATTTAATAAAAATACAGTAAAAACAGTAATATTCTGAAATTTTATTACAATTTAAAATAACTTTTCTGTTTTAATATATCACAAAAAATGTAATTTATTCCTTTGACGGCAAAGCTGAATTTTCAGCATCATTACTCCAGTCTTCAGTGTCACGTGATCCTTCAGAATCATTCTAATATGCTGATCTGCTGCTCAAGAAACAGTTCTTAATATTATCAATGTTGAAAACTGCTGTTTAATATTTTCATGGAAACCGTGATACTTTTTTTTCAGGTTTTTCTGATAGATCGAAAGTTCAAAAGAACAACATTTGATTGAAATGAAACTCTTTTGCAACATTATAAAGGTCTTTACTGTAATTTTTGATCAATTCATGCATCTTTGCTGAATAAAATTATTAATTTCTTTTTTTTTTTTCTACTTACTAACCCTAAACGTTTGAACAATAGTATCAATACCAGTAAAGTAAAAAAATATCAAATTACTCATATGGTTCTAATATATTGTGTATCCCTAAGAATAATGTCAAATATAGGTGTGGAATCTTACATTTCTGTAATATATTGAAATTAAAAATGGTGCATTCATTTCTGATCCTTAAAATTATCAAAAAATTAACTGCTTTTGTGAAACTCCATGGCACATTGAAAAGACATGTCCTCATAACTAATGTATTCATATCTACAGCCGCTCGGTGCATTTTCCCCTTAGTGGCCGCCCACAAGCCCGACACATTATTACCCATGAGAATACACCAATCTCACTGAAAATCCTGTAAATATTAATAATTTAACACAAAGGAGGAGGCCCTGCGTCATTACAGCACCTGCCGGCGTGTAATGCAATTTGACCTGCGTGCTGAGAGTCAAAGGCATTCAGTATTGTGAATATTAGCTACAGTGTTAGCGATGCCTGGCGCATACACAAAGACTGAAGTCTGGGATGCATTTCTTCCCGATACGAAGACACACGCGCACACACACATGCTGATACTCTCCAGGTTATTGGTTATGAAAGGAGGCCCTGCGTCATTACAGCACCTGCCGGTGTGTAATGCAATTTGACCTGCGTCCTGAGAGTCAAAGGCATTCAGTATTATGAATATTAGCTACAGTGTTAGCGATGCCTGGCGCATACACAAAGACTGAAGTCTGGGATGCATTTCTTCCCGATACGAAGACACACGCGCACACACACATGCTGAGACTCTCCAGGTTATTGGTTATGAAAGGGAGGGGCAACAGCGAAGGTGTGGTTGTCATGGAGATGAGAGGAGCGGAATGGGATTTGTTGTATCAATAACCTTGAGAAGACAATGAGAATTAATCATGGACAGACAGTGGCGGCTCGTCCAGGAGAGCAAGAGACTGGGGACGTACAAAGAAGGGAAGAGGAAAATGAATCGTGTAATCAGTCGCTCATTATCAAATTATTCTGTGAACAAGAGCTTGCGATGAATAATGCAGGATTGTCCTTTAGCAAACAAGCACTTCAGAAGTTAAAGAGAAAGGCTTGCCAAAAAAAAAATATCTGGATAAATTTAAGGCCATTGAAACAAATGTATTTTTACAACTATTTTAAGTTTAATTTAAATATGTATTTACAAGTATTTAATTTAAATATATATTTACATAAAAAAATATAAATGCTTTTAATTTTTGAAGGCTTCATTTTCATTACATCTTAGCCTTTATATAATTAAGTAGATTTGTATGTGTTCTGAAGAAAATAAGCGGTTTAATAACGATGCTAGCCGTAGTAAGCAGGTAATTAATGGGGCACTCTTTGAGATTAAACGCTTGGGTAATGATTTCTCTTGTCCTGATGCAGGGTCTTTATTTCCCCTGGAGATCCAGCGTGACCGTTGTGGGTTATCTGATTTGATCTTGTCTTATCTGTTTCCAGGAAATGCAAGTGGAAGAGCTTAGCGCAGTAAGACAGACCCTGCAAGCTGATCTAGAGACATCAATCCGGCGTATCGTTGATCTACAAGCCGCGCTGGAGGAGGTGGAGTCCAGCGATGAAAGTGATACAGAAAGGTATCGCTAATGACCTGCGCCTGACCTTTTCCATTTCCTTTTTGGTTCATTCCATATAATAGTGTGTTGAAGAAAGTATGCTATATGCTTGGATGGTGTATAACTTCCAGTGGATTTTCGAAGTATCATCATGTATTTTATTTTATTTTTTATTTAATTTAACAAGTGGAAGAGCTTAGCGCAGTAAGACAGACCCTGCAAGCTGATCTAGAGACATCAATCCGGCGTATCGTTGATCTACAAGCCGCGCTGGAGGAGGTGGAGTCCAGCGATGAAAGTGATACAGAAAGGTATCGCTAATGACCTGCGCCTGACCTTTTCCATTTCCTTTTTGGTTCATTCCATATAATAGTGTGTTGAAGAAAGTATGCTATATGCTTGGATGGTGTATAACTTCCAGTGGATTTTCGAAGTATCATCATGCATTTTATTTTATTTTTTATTTTTTATTTAATTTAATGTAATTTTTATTTTATTTTGGGGAGAAGGGGGTGCATTTTTTTTTCATTAGCATTTCTTTATTTTATTTTATCTCGTTTTTTATTTTAGATTTTTTTATTTATTTATTTTTTTTTCGCATTTGTTTTATTTTTCAGCAAATCTAACTTTACAACTTTTTATTTCATTAGGGTTAGGTTTGCTTATTTTATTTTATTGTATTTTTGGCAAACTCAGCTCTATATATACAGTATGTATGTGCACAGGTTTTATAAGTAACAGTTTTTATGTTCTAAAAGTAACATCAAGACGTAAAACTTCAGTATACGGTTTTCTTCCCTTTGGGTTTTAAGTTTTACTTCTTGCTGTTACTGAGTAATTGCTTTCATTCTTTTTCAGTTGAGCTGAAATGTGAAGAGATTTTCCTCACTGTGCAAAATCAAGGCTACACTTTGCTAGTATAAACGCTTCAATAATGCCTTCCTCCCTCGACACCCATAGTAAAATGCGGTCCGATGTATCAGAGTTCACAGACTTTGATCTTCTCCGCCAGACTGCTTAGACTTCACTCAAAATTCGATATGCTTGCTTTGCTCGTACCTCCAACCACTTTAGCTTTCCGCTCCACTCCTGTGCGTCTCTGACTGCGTCTCCCTCTTCACACAGTGTGCAGACGGCTGTGGAGTCCTTCTCTAGAAGGAAAGATCTGTAAGCACTCCATCATCCATCCTGTTGTTGTTCTCTCCCATGTATCCATGTATTTTCTATGTTCTGCATTTGGGAATGAGCAATCAGATTAATGCGGGCTTCAAACTAGGACAGTGGTTGCATATTGGACGATATAGGAAAAAAATTATATATTTTAGACTTTTGGTGATATCCAATTTAAGTTATTATTAGTCAAATATTATCATCAATATTGTAATTTAAAAAAAATAATAAAATGGAAAAATTCAATAAATCTATTTTAAAATTATTTTGTCATTTTATTTTGTACTTTTTTTAAGTATGTATTTATCTATTTTATTATGTTTTTATTTTATTTTATTTATATTATTTTAATTTTTTAACCTACTAGCTATATTTGCTACTGTTAAATCCTAGATGCTATTCAAATATTTGTCTTAGCATTCTCATACTCACAAATCGCAAGACAAAGAAGAATTGTGGAACTACTTTAATGATCTTAAACAAACTTAACAGCCAAATAAAAGTGTTTTAAAAGCATCTAGGATGCTAAATTTGATATTGCCAGATATATTATTGCAAATACATTCCCTATATCGTCCAACTCTAGTTGTATAACATACATTAACGTCTGTTGCGACATGAAGAAATGTCCTGCTTTATGCAGTACGGTTTCTTTTTTGCATATAAATGCACGGCGTCTCTTTGTGAACCATGGCTTAATGGTGTTGGCGGAGTCTAACACATAACCATCATTCTCTCGTTGGTCTAAAAGTTTGCCATCAAGCAAATGTTGATGGATGGGCCAGTGCTGCGTTTGGCTGTTGATGTTGCCTGCTTAGCCTGTTGCTCAGTGCTGTAAGTGTGTGTGGACTTGTGTAAGGTCACGGCTTCCTTTCACACGTCTGAATGAAGATAGACGAGAGTCTCCGCTGGACGGATGTGAACAGACACCTACTCGTCGAACGCAAACCGCCACATACCCACACTGCCACTTTGCTTTGTTAAATGCAAGAAGCTTTCCTCTGTGCGAGAGAGTCCTTTTAAAAGTTCACCAGCTGTGATATGCTTTGTCTTCTGAATAATGCATGCGCATTAGTCGAGACCCCCCGCGTCTCTTCACTTTCAGTTGTCTGTGCGAACGAAAAAGGGGATAAAATGAACTGTGTTGCATTTGTTCAGAGCTTTGGGTCTTAAATCTCTGTACGAATGTAGTGAGTCCAATTACAAGAGCAGGGTAGGAGAGAACCCACGGCATATGCAAGCAAATTAACAATGTTTTTGTTACCTTACTCTTGTATGTTTGAATAAGAGCTTCTGGAAGCTAGAATAGGTTTTGATGCAATGGCTCTGTTCCAAAACCTAGTGATCTGCCCAGCATTTTAAGTCATCATAGGCATACACACAACAAGAAACTGTTTCTAAATGTTTTGAGCAAATTCTAAAGTAGCATCACATGTATTAGTTCAATCCCTGAATGCAATGCAACAAGCAATTTAAGCAGAGTGCTATTATATATGTATTTAATGCAGTTCTGAAAATCATCCCCAAATAAAATCTAACAAAAAATAAAAAATCTACTTTATGCTTAGTAGAGTATCTCTTGCATCATTTTAGCAACAACATGAACTCTGTTGTAATCAGTTGTGAGTAGTAGCAAACTTGCTGCATACACTCTTAAAAATAAAGGTGCTTCAAAAGGTTCTTCAAGCGATGCCATACAATAAAAAAAGGTTCTTCTATGGCATCGTGAAGCACCTTTGTTTTTAAGAGTGTACTGTAGCACAAAAAGTGCTTCTTAGTTCTGTGGAGTTCAAACAGTAGAGCATGGTGCAAGCAACGCCAAGGTCATCGGTTGGATTCCCAAGAAATGCATAAATTTGATTAAATTATACCTTAAATCCAGTGTAAGCCACTTAAATAAATGTGTCTGCCAAATGCATAAACACGGATGCAAATATATGCCTATGCAGAGCGTTCCAAATGTGTTTTGTTTGGATGGATCCATGAAGACCCTTCTAAATCCATGGAACCTTTCAATTGCACAAAGGTTCTTTATAATGGAAAAAGGGTCTTCAAATTAGTAAATTAATCTTCACACTAAGAAAAAAATGGTTCTTTTAAGAATTGATCACTGAAAGGTTCTTTGCTGAATCCAAAATGGAGGTTCTATTGCATCGCTACAAAACCCCCCTTTTAAAAACTTCATTATTAAGAGTGTGGGATGCTCCATTAGAAGATAGCTGCCTTTTTAGGCAAATGGCAGCACTCTAGTTCTTGGAACAGAGCTTATGTTTTGGGATCTCAAGCAAACAGCTTTAGTCGGTCTGTAAACAGGCTGTGGATCAGTGTGTTGTGCCCCTACGAGCCCTGATAATGACAGCGCTCTCAAGACTAAATGAACTCGCAGTTCACTGAACACACATGGCCTGCTGGGTAGCAATGAGGATATCAGAGCTAATATCACCCCCATGTGTGGCGTTACAGCCCCCATGACGAGAGATCTACTCTCAAGCCATGCGCATGATCATATTCATGTAGGTCATGTATGCATTGATATAGGCTTTGATCGCTTGCGCTATGAGAGCATGTTGCACAAATCTTGATCCATCCATTGAAAGGCATGATATGATTTTCACACTTGGTGACATGGGGTTTGAATTTCAGCGACACCATGTCCAGCGTAGGATCCAGTGTGGGCACTGAAGACGTCGGCGAAGGGATCCGTCAATGGGCAGGTGTACCGCGGGGAGGCCGAGGAGGAAGAACTTCTCCTTACGCAGGAAGCAGCTCCGGCCGCCAGTCTGTTACCGACACCATGAGCACCTACAGTTTCAGGTAACACAGCAAGAAAAGTCTGATAATCAATAAGTACGATGTGACATCGATGACGATTGGTCATGTCTTGTCAGATACTTCAAAATGCTTGCTTTTGTGCTGCATGGATGCAAGAAAGCCATATGGGTTTGGAACGACATGAGGGTGAGTAAATGGTGATAAAAGACGCATCTTTTATATTCATTGTTATTGTCTGTCTTTTATTCCCTATGACAGATCTTGCACACAGGACCTGGACGAAGACGTCAAAGAAAGTTCCGGTGGTCTTGGCAGAGCATCATCATCCACGGCCCTATCTGAGCTCCTGGAGGGTCTGAGGAAGAAGCGCGCTGGGTGGGAAAGAGGCTCAGAGGTGGGCGAGGGGAGCGCAGTGTCCCTTCCCATCTATCAGACGACAGGGGCCTCCACGCTACGCCGCAGGTCTTCAGCGCTGTCTCTAGAAGCAGAGGAGGGTCTGGAGGACCTGCCTCGGCCCAGCATACTGAAACCTCCCAGTCCCCACCTGCCCCGTGCCTCCAGCCTCCGCTCCCTATCCGAGGCAGGCCCAACGTCCTCCACCACCACAACCACCACAGGAAAGATGAACCGCTTCAGCTCTTGCGACTCCCTCGCATCCGTGACCTCCACCGCAAGTTCCCGCCGCCACTTGTCCAACCTGTCCATCCCTGAGGAAGGAGAGGAGGAGCCCAGGTCGAAAGCCATTCCTCCTCTTGGGTCCTATCAACCAATCCGACGTCGATTACTCGGCGGCCTGGTGGCGGAAACCGGAGAGTCGCAATTGGGATCGGAACCGCTTGTGTTCCAGAATCGCAGACTCCTTGGGAATCAAGACAAGGAGAGGGCTGGAGTCGATGCAGGGGACACCAGCTCAGACATTCTCCCAGCAATCCGACGAGCACAGTCCACTAGCAGTCTGGCATCAAGCGGTTCCCGAACGGGCCAGAGACGAGCACTCAGTGTGCACTTTGGGGAGTTGCCGCCGTCCAGAGCGTCGCGTAGGGAGTCCGACTCAGACTCTTCAAGTTCTGGAGGATCTCAGAAGCGCCGTGGGCCTCAAGAAGAGAGGCTGGAAGCCGAGGGCAGCGAGGATGTCAATTCTGTGATGAAGAAGTACCTCAAAAAAGCAGAAGTGGACTAGAAGACTCAACGAGGTTAAGCTTAAAACTGCACTGGCCTGCTTTACATTTAAGGGGGTCATATCATGAGGAACCTAATTTTCCTTGATCTTTTGAGATAGAGTTTGTACTGAAACATACTGTAACTTTGAGAGCTTGAAACTTCTTCCCCAGTCCAAATCCAGGGATATTCTGAAATCCTTGGATTTGTATTGTCAGAAACCTTGGATTTGGGATGTCAGAAACATTATCTTTTGATCACCCACACATTACACATCACAAACGTCAGTTTGCTATTTAGGTATTATGTACCTTTAAGGTACCAATATGCACTCTTTAGGTACAAAGGTTTACCTTTTGAAAGGTTACCCCCACAGTGACTGCTTTTGTACCTTTTTTCTGAGAGTGTATGCAAATTGAATATTTACATGTAAGTATTAAAGGCACTGCTGCAAAGAAGAAGAAAACAGTATATTTTAGGGTTACAGAGGGGGTGGGAAATGGTGTGTGACCCCTTTAAATGACAAAGAAATTCTGAAAAATTAGCAACATTAAACTATATTGACTTGTGAAAGGATGTAAATCATTTAATCACTCTTTTTTCTTTCTCCTGACAGGATGGATGAAGACGTGGAGAATAGTCCTTGTCCAGAATGCATTGAGGCACATTTAACTGCACATTTAAGCACAAATACACTGGATTTATTTTGAGCACTGTTTGTACACATAAATAGAGATGTTAAAGGTGAACACATCAAATTCCTAAAATTCTCACTGTAAACATGCCCTTTATTTGAGCCGCACTGATACCCTCGGGTGCTTCAGGTCGAGGAAATGAATCTTGACCAGCGAGCGCTTGCTTTCCCTCTCATCAGTCAGTGCAAATTTGTTAAACTCCAACAGATGTAAATAAAAACGTCAAGCAGAATCATTGGTATTTGCTTCGACCTTTCAAAGGAGAGGAGCAGCATCACATTCAGAGAGGAAAACTGAAATAGAGCATTTTTACAGAGCTGAACCGCTTCAGCTCCTGCGACCCCCTCGCATCCGTGACCTCCACCGCAAGTTCCCGCCGCCACTTGTCCAACCTGTCCATCCCTGAGGAAGGAGAGGAGGAGCCCAGGTCGAAAGCCATGCCTCCTCTTGGGTCCTATCAACCAATCCGACGTCGATTACTCGGCGGCCTGGTGGCGGAAACCGGAGAGTCGCAATTGGGATCGGAACCGCTTGTGTTCCAGAATCGCAGACTCCTTGGGAATCAAGACAAGGAGAGGGCTGGAGTCGATGCAGGGGACACCAGCTCAGACATTCTCCCAGCAATCCGACGAGCACAGTCCACTAGCAGTCTGGCATCAAGCGGTTCCCGAACGGGCCAGAGACGAGCACTCAGTGTGCACTTTGGGGAGTTGCCGCCGTCCAGAGCGTCGCGTAGGGAGTCCGACTCAGACTCTTCAAGTTCTGGAGGATCTCAGAAGCGCCGTGGGCCTCAAGAAGAGAGGCTGGAAGCCGAGGGCAGCGAGGATGTCAATTCTGTGATGAAGAAGTACCTCAAAAAAGCAGAAGTGGACTAGAAGACTCAACGAGGTTAAGCTTAAAACTGCACTGGCCTGCTTTACATTTAAGGGGGTCATATCATGAGGAACCTAATTTTCCTTGATCTTTTGAGATAGAGTTTGTACTGAAACATACTGTAACTTTGAGAGCTTGAAACTTCTTCCCCAGTCCAAATCCAGGGATATTCTGAAATCCTTGGATTTGTATTGTCAGAAACCTTGGATTTGGGATGTCAGAAACATTATCTTTTGATCACCCACACATTACACATCACAAACGTCAGTTTGCTATTTAGGTATTATGTACCTTTAAGGTACCAATATGCACTCTTTAGGTACAAAGGTTTACCTTTTGAAAGGTTACCCCCACAGTGACTGCTTTTGTACCTTTTTTCTGAGAGTGTATGCAAATTGAATATTTACATGTAAGTATTAAAGGCACTGCTGCAAAGAAGAAAAAAACAGTATATTTTAGGGTTACAGAGGGGGTGGGAAATGGTGTGTGACCCCTTTAAATGACAAAGAAATTCTGAAAAATTAGCAACATTAAACTATATTGACTTGTGAAAGGATGTAAATCATTTAATCACTCTTTTTTCTTTCTCCTGACAGGATGGATGAAGACGTGGAGAATAGTCCTTGTCCAGAATGCATTGAGGCACATTTAACTGCACATTTAAGCACAAATACACTGGATTTATTTTGAGCACTGTTTGTACACATAAATAGAGATGTTAAAGGTGAACACATCAAATTCCTAAAATTCTCACTGTAAACATGCCCTTTATTTGAGCCGCGCTGATACCCTCGGGTGCTTCAGGTCGAGGAAATGAATCTTGACCAGTGAGCGCTTGCTTTCCCTCTCAGCAGTCAGTGCAAATTTGTTAAACTCCAACAGATGTAAATAAAAACGTCAAGCAGAATCATTGGTATTTGCTTCGACCTTTCAAAGGAGAGGAGCAGCATCACATTCAGAGAGGAAAACTGAAATAGAGCATTTTTACAGAGCAGCGATTGTGCTTACAACATGGAGGCTCTCCATAATAATGGAGCCTGACCTGGTTTCTGCAACTGAATCATTATCTTAGACTTATTTGCCTAGGAATGGAGTAAAGAAAATAGTTTGTACTTAATTGCCAGAACAGAATTTGAAGCTACTACACACACAGTGACGACATGCTCTATATCAGTGGTTCTCAACCTTTTTTTCCACCAGGCCGCACTATGGTCCAAGTGCAAGTCTCGCGGGCTGCACGCATATCATTTCCATATTACGTCAGCAATACAAACCAACCTGATGTATAATATTATAGCCTAAATATTATGATATCTAATCGATTACATTCATTGAAATAAATAAATAATTCTACTCCCCATAAATAACACCCAATTTTGTGAACTTCGGCTCGAAAGGAGTAACAGCACAATCATAGGCGGAGTTTCACTTTTATGCGTGGGGCACTTTTACACGAGATTTTCACGTCATAGTTCAGACGCGGTCAGGGCCTCGGGCCTGTTTTAGGCTTCTCCTTATTTTTATATTTTAAACATCCATCAATTAGTGATGAAAAAAGATTGCCGCGCTGGTGGAAACAGCACGAGACCGTGCTACCGTGACTGTCAAGAGCGGCCCGACGGTGTTTAGTGTCCCGCAGCAGCAGTATGTATGGTGCGTGCAGTCAGCGCAGCTGAAGAGATCCGCGTTCAAATGCACGCAATAGGCTTAAGTTTGCCGCAAAGCTTGGGCAAAAGTAATTACCATAAATGCGTCAGGGGGCAACAGTAAGGAGACATTTGAATTATTTACTAATAAACTAGTGTTTTCTGAGTCGGTGTCTCAAGGATGAAGTTGTCGATCCTGACTCGCCATCTCTTCATTAGACGCGCCTTTAGAGAGAAGTGCATCTTTACGGATTATGATCATAATGAAAGAGTTTTTGTTTTTGATTTGTTTTATTTCGTTAAGTAGTAATTTAAAGCTTTCTATAGATATATTTATCATGTCTGTGAGGCATGTATTCGCGGAGTTTCTTCCTGATTGAAGAGACGACAGAAAGCGCATCATGTTTGATTTCTTTATTTTATAAAAGCACAACGTTTTGTTGATATTGTGAGTGCACACAAATAAAAGTAGACCCTTTACAGTTACGAATGATGCATTACTCTTACCTTTATGAGCAAAAATGACGGTGTATCCACTGAAAAAAAAGGCAAGTGATCGCGCTGCCGCCTCTATGTCCTGCAAAGCGCGCTTCAGCTTCCACTCTCTGCGCAAACTATTGGATATAGCGCACATTTATCTAGGTTTAACGTTTAAACATGCTTGAACTGTTTTATATCTACAGATTTATTTTAGTCAAGTCGTGATGATTTGAGAAGGCTGAATTGATCAAACATATGCTCACTGTCTGCCGCTGGCCGCTTGGTCGTTACTTTAAATGCGTAACGTTAATTAGGCTATGCGAGTAGGCTACTGCTCATGTCTGAAAATAATATATGAAAAACAAAATTATTTTACATAAAAACATTAGGCTATAGCTTATATTTTAGTACATTTTTAAATGTAAAAACTAAAATGAATTGTAAAACTGAAAGTTTTTTTTTATTTTTTTTATTGTGTTCAGCACGGTGGGCCGCATTTGAATTCGTGACGGGCCGCATGCGGCCCGCGGGTTGAGAACCACTGCTCTATATAAATGCACTTGGTAAGCATAAACAGGCTAAAAGAATATTCCAGGTTGAGTTATGCTAAATTGTAGCATTTGTGGCATAATGTTGGTTAATCACAAATAATAATTTTCACTGGTTTTCCTAGAAGTTACAGTGAGGCACTAAAAATGGAAGTAAATGAGGCCTATTTTGTAGGTTTTAAAAGCAGAAGTGTGTAACTTTTTATACAAGCTCTTTTAACTGTAATCATTCAGTGTGGTCATTGCCATTATGCCACAAATTGAGCTTAACTTGTACTGAGCCTGGAATACTCCAACTACATTTTAGATCTATTTACTGAAAGCAGCACATTACAGTGACTTTACCACAGTAAGTGTTTTCTTAACCCTTACCGGTGGTAAATCACTATAATGCAGTGCCTCAGATTTAAATTGGTGCTTCCACTACATTTAGATGACAGCCGAGACAGGTGTACACGCAACCCAGTCATACTTTCTTGCACAGATAAATTTTTCAGAGAAAATGACAAGTTTGCTTTCCCCTCCAACAGTTTTATTGACAGGAAGCTTAGCTACAATGGGACCATGGTGAGAAATTTGAGATCCCAACACAAATGTCCTGCAGCGGCCTTCTGGGAATGTGCCGCTTCCCATCCACATCTGCAATAAGAGAACATGATCAATGCTTTGGTCTCTACATAATCAATTTAGTACATCATCTACAGGTCCTTGCCTGGTCACACCTTTGCAGCTTGCGCCTTCCGTCCCCTTCCTTTACCCTGAAGGAAACCGATGTTAATTTGTGCATTGCTTTAGAAAAAGAAAATGTGAGAAAAAAAAAGGCACCTTTTTAGGTGGATTTTCACCATCTGAGGCTTTCCTGCGTTTGAAACATTTGATTAGCTTGCTTTGAGAAACAAATGAAAATTAAAAACTCAATTAAATGTTAGATGTAACCAGGACCGTTTCTAGCCAAAAGCGCTGTTGGAAGTGAATGAATTGATTCAGCATTTCGACACCTCCGTAAGGATGCATTTAACTCGACAAAGTGGTCTAATAAAGGATGTATTGATCTCGTGAATTAGCGAATTTTACTATACAAATATTTTGTAATTGGATGTTTAAGTTTATATGGGAATATATTACATGACACGCTGATCCTTTAACAATGCATTGGCGCAAAAAACGCGCACCTTTTGGACAAATCTGCCACAAATATTTGGGCAAATGTGCCACAAAAATACTGCCTAAACAATACTGATGTTGTGCACTTTATTTACTGTACCAATATTTTAAATTGGCCTTTGAACTTAGCTTTATTGCATGACAAAAAATAGTGTTACCTTGCCAAGGCACTGACAGAGCCCACTGATCTAATGGTGTTGAGTGCTCCAAATGCAAACTTTGCATGCAACAATCACGCAGCAATTGACAGCACTCTGATCTAGTGGCATACAGGCATCGTCAGATTGACAGCACTCTAGCCCAATAATGTTGGGGGACCCAGGCATATTTCAGGGTGACCTTGCCACTCTTTATCACAACCCTGCTAAAAGTGCCAGTACGTGCGCTCATTGGCGCCCCTTCAGCTGGTGGCGCCCTAGGCGACCGCCTAGCTCGCCTATGCCTAGAAACGGCCCTGGATGTAACTTACTCATCCTCTCCCTTTTCTGGCTTCTTTCTCTTTAAAGAAGAAAGGGAGCAGTGAGAATTGGAACAAACTTCATTTAAACTACTTGTGACCTATGAGACCAGGCCTTACTTTGCCAGCACCATTTTTTGTGACTTTCTTAACAGGTGATTCTTCAATATCTTCCTCCTCTTCTTCTACCTCCTCATCCATCTCTTCTTCATCAGAGTACTCCTCCACTGGGAGAGATTTTGGCACAAGACCGTTGACTTAGAGTAACCACAGACAGCAGCTAAAAATAGAGCTGAAACGACTACTCACGGGCCACATGTTCCGCTCCAACATACACCGGCCCAGAGCCGCGCTTCAGGCGAAAGGTCACAGGTGGATGAAGATCCAATCCAGACAGGTTGACCTGATGGAGAATGAAACTTCATGGGGAATAGACTTGTGGAAGTAAATGTGATTACTGTACCTCCTTTCGGAGTAAACTACAAAAGACCACAAAATAGTTTAACAAACTTTTTTTTAACCCTGTGCTGCTGAAAACAAAATAGATTAAAAACAATTTCCAACTTAAGCGGTTGTAGATCTTGAATTATTTGGAGTACTGTTTGGTCTCTTTTTAATGACAACACTTGGCAGATCACTGCTAAAGTAAAAAAAAAAAAAAAAAAGTTAGAATTTTAAGCGCATTTTGACAAACGCACAGAAATGGAAGTTATGACATTTTCCAAAACGTGTTTAACTCAAACTGCATAGAAAAAAAGCCATAAAATCTAAGCTAGTTGTGTTCCAAATTTGAGGTTGATATCACAAAAAAAGTGAGCTTTCAATAATATTATGTGGACCAAATATTTAAACCAAATGTTCCAAACGTTTAAAAAAAAAAAAGCTTTAAAACCAAGTTAATAATATTCTAAATAAAAACTAATTTCTTACCGTAGGCATAGATTTAGCATGTAATGTTGCTATGGGAACCGCTCTGGCGCTGCTGTTGCCC